GAAGCAAACCAGCAAATGATGAAGAGCAATAAAGCCGACAAGCAGAAATACGTAGAACACATAGCAACGATGACGGAAATGATGCAAGAGAAGGAAATGTGAAACAACTATATGATACAACGAGGAAACTAGAAAGGAGATGTAGCAAACCTGAGAGACCAGTCAAGGACAAAGAAGGCAGGACAATCACTGAAATTCAAGAATGGAAGAACAGATGGGTGGAGTTCTTTGAGGAACTCTCGAATAGACCAGCTCCATTGAGTCCACCGTACATCTAACAGCATCCACAGACTTTCCTTTAGCTGTCACGCTACCAACGACGGAAGAAATCAGGATGGCCATTAGACAAATCAAGAGTAGGAAAGTAGCAGGACCTAAAAAGATGCCTTCTGAGACACTGAATTCAAACATAGAGGTAACTGCGAACATGTTCCAAGTTCTATTCAGGAAGATTTGGTCGGAAGACCAAGTGCCACTGACAGACTGTATTAATAGGCAAGCCCTAACTAGGAATCCTGAAGGGAAACTGTGAAGAGGAAAACCAAAGAACTCGTTACGTCGGGAAACTGAAGCAGTTATGGAAAGGGTGAATAACAACTGGAAAGAGCTGGAAAGGATTGCACGGGATAGGGTTGCAGGAAGAGTTCTGGCAGTCAACCTATTCTCCTCCACGAGAAGTAACAGGCGCAAGTAAGTAGGTAAGTGGTCAAAGGAAAATATTTTAGTGGGCAGACCACCACCCAAATTAGAGTCAAATGTTAAGTCAAGGGATAAGATGAAGAACTATATCAGTATAACTGTCTGGTCCTTATTTTCATAGCTTGTCTATGTGTGTTTGCGTCGATCAATAGCTATGCTTGCTAGTGGTTGATTTTTAACAAGCCTATTTCACCGGAGCGTGTAAATGCTACTACAGTTTGTTAATGAATCATCGTAGCTAATCATAAATACGGATGTCCAGTTACCAATATTGATAAAGCTATTTAGCTGAGCATCAGTCAGTATTACGATACTATAATACATGTGAGCAATAATCAGCAGACTAATGGAAAATGGGTTAACAAATTTAAAAACCGATTGGTTATGTTAAAGCGAATGTGAAGTTTAATAAAAGGCCGTGTTTCTTCAGTCTCTCTCAACCAATGTAGAATAATGGCTCCTTTTGGTATTAGCACAACCATAACAATAGACCTAATCGCGAAATTGTAGATATCTCATGATGCGACCACCTGATCAATAAAGTCTTACTTTGAAGTCCCATCATAATGATCATAATGATGATCAGCACCATAGCATCTAGCACTCCTGAACAACACATCTGAGCTGGGAAGAGAGTAATATATTTGATACTGAAGGCAAGAAGGTCGAGACTATAATTTATGGACAACCTTTGAACGAACCTCGAGTGACCTTGATAAACATTAGCCACCCAGCAAATAGTAAGTATAAAGTAAAAATATATTATAAAAAACCAAAGAAAGAAAGTGGATACACTTCTTATAAGAGGTTCGAAAACTTTTCTAGGTTATAAAGCGGTTCAGAGACTCTAAAGTTGTAATGCATGTAGTAGAGAAACTCATCCATATGGGTACAGAACAGTCGGCCTCTGGAGCCATCATAAAGTCTCAAAAAACCCTTTCAGCTCGACCACATAACTTCAATACTGTTTGCGTGCACTCTGGTTGTTGAGCACACAAAATGCCACTTGTGGATAACGATACGATGCACATAATCAAGCCTATGCAGAAGTCTGTACGCTCTCCAATCATCCATGTATATTGTAGTACCTGGCTGCAGCCAGTGTTACTGGTGCCTTAGTTACCCAGTTCGCAATAACTATCACAATTTGCTTTAGCTAGGAACTATATATATAGGGTTTTCATCAAGAACTAACATCAGCTATAATGCCATAAATCTATTTAGCCAAAACGCAAGATCTGTTATCTTGTAGTGAACAGAACACCGTTGGGGACATTCGAATATATTTAAACACAAAATTACAGAGCATCTCGATAAAATCCGAGAACCCTATAGTAAATGCTTAATTTGCAAACTGTCCATAAATTTTCTTGAAATAACTCAGACTTCATTGTTTTTGCATTTTCATACAAATTACTTTCTGTTTCCATTCTTTACTGTCCGATCCTCTTGTCTCTCTGCTGCCAGACATTCTGTCCCTGACTAACAACGTATACTACTTTTGTCGATATAAACAGCACACACCATAATCTTATACCTGACTGATTCGTCCACAAATTATAGTCTCGCCGTTTTATTTGTTATAGCCACTCAATTATCACGTTTTATACAAAATTCCCTGTGAACCAATCGTACGTCAGTATTAAGCACTGATGTCAGTGCCGTGACCTTGAAATCTCTCAAAGCTCCTGATTGGCTTGTCCGTAAATTGGAGTCTCGCCGCAAGAGATTATTTCCTTACGCTTTCATCACTGTTGATCTGCTCTTATTGTTATATGTTGAATGCAAATCTCCTCAGTAATCATACGCTCAGCCTAAAAGTACATGTGCTTAGGAACCAATATCCCTAATATGTCACTAAGTCCTAGACAAATTATTCTTAGAACTGAACTGTTTCGAAATCATATGAAAGATTAATGAATATTGATTATTTTGTTGAATATCGTTAAGGTCATAGATGACTGACACGGATTGAGCGAATGAAAAGCCTTGACCAACTCACATAACAGCGCATGTATATACTTCGCTGACCTGTACTCCTCAATGTACTTTGTTAATTCTACAAAATATAAAGGATTCAGAGGAGAAAATTTGCCTTCCTACGAAGTCATTTACTGATGCTGTTCATTCGTCTGACAAATATATTTGTATAAAAAATTATGAAAGGTTACATAGTAAAGTAGTTCGAAATTGCGAAAGGCGTTGCGTAACATTCAAAGGGTTGGAAGAAAATAAGATTATCAAAATAATTTACGAGAAGGATAATTGTTATGGTGATAAATAACTACCAAATTGACAGACATCAGTGAAAATAAAATACGTAAAAGGTTATAATAACAACCGTATAAAAACCATGAACATGATAATAATATAAGATTATCTGATTGCAGCTTAAAGTGACAGTGTATGAACTTACATATTCACCACACAACGGCAAATACACATGCACAGCATAGAGAAATGATTTCGTTGGAAAGAGAATTTTCCGTTATTTTTGTTCAAAGATACTGTAGTGACCTACTTTTGTGAACAGAACGCGATTGGTCCGATGAAAACAATTATTATTACAACCAATTGTACCAGTGATTGTTTTATTGTGCTCGTTTGTTTAACCGTGCTAATAACAGCCATTCTGGTCTTCCATTGTACTCCATTACTTCTGCGCGGTTTGTGACTACGCACATACCTTTCCTTGCTGATCGCATTTGTACTCCTTTGGCACGATCTCGGTATTCTTTCGATACCACGAGATTGCCAGCAAATATATTTCAACTACTACTATTATCTGCCTTCTGATATTAGTCTACGAGGATCTGTAGTGGCATTGGGCCCTACCACGAGACAATATGAGAAATGGACATTAAACATTTAACGCGGAGGAATACAGAAGAATGGAGAAGGCGGGAATAATAAATTGAATTAGTCCGAGTTGATCGGATGGCATGACTCGGCCTTGCAGGCGTGGTCCTAGCTGAATGTTATCTTGTATCTTCTATTCATATTAAATATATTCTATCTCTAACCTAAGCTTGTTCTCTATCACGTATTGGTAATTGTTACAATGCAATGAATCGGTGTAGACGATGATGTAACTTCCACGTAAGGTCTTATAGATTAGACAGTTACATCATGATAAATCTACAATTTTAGGATTAGGTCTATTATTAGAACAGTGTTAATATCATAGTAGACTGTAATTCTACAGATCTTTTTGGTTAATTGGCACGTAGTCTTGTAGCGGTGTTCATAGTCAAGCTCAACTCGACACCACGCTACAACACAACTAGAGCCGTATTAGTTTGAGAAAATTCTATTCGTTTTGCAGATTCCATAAAGAAGCAGTCTTATCCGATAACCATGATAGAGTAGGCCACATCAGTTATGTATATGAAAGGGTAACCAAGTTGAAAACTAGAAGACTACACCATTTTCTTCCGGCTTGAATAGATGTTACCATTCACATTTTCGTAGTTATTCTATTCCCCTATACTAGCCAGTAGAAGATAATTCTATCGTCTTTCGCTCTAACACTAGATAGTGGATACTTTAACTACAAAATTAACTTTGAGATCTAGCTATCTCTCTTGCATGCACAGTACTTGCAATGCTTTACGAATAATGATTCACAGAGAGGCCTATCATCAATATCTGCCGTTCAAACACCTCATAATGTATCCCACATTCTTTAAGGCTAAGTATACTGCCAATAACTCTGTCAGTTGTAGAATATCGATACCGGGTGGCTGAATCTCTTCAGCTGACTACCACTAACCATTTGCTGTCAACTTAAACAGAACTCTAACATTAGTTTTCTATCAAGAGAGATAAACATACTCCCCTATTATCCCTAACCACTAAGGTACTTTCGTTTGGCATTTTCTTACAATTCTAAATGGCTGGAAAAACATGGCTCGAAGGCATTGCGTTAGTGGTTAAGGTGCACATATTCAGTTATGACGGATTATCATCAGCTGACGGATGACGCATACGAGTTTTCAATAATTTCTTTGAGAACCTTCACATCATTATTTTTACAAAATACTATGACAATATATAAGTAGAAAGTGAATAAAAGTCCCTGTATCAATAAACCCTACGTAGAATAATTTTCCACTACAATTCCTAAAACTTCACTAAACTTGTGGTGGTTTAAAGAAAGCTTATAATCATTTAAAAATCACTAAATAATAAGAAATAAATCGAAATCGCTTACTAAGCAGGAATAGTTTGCTCCGTAACTTAACACAGGTGAGTATTGTACATTGAGACTTTTTAGTGTTTAGAATTATCTTGTTTAATAGTTCCAATTGACCTTCCACGTTTTGGATTTCTTGTGAGTTTCTGTAGGTAAACTCGAGGTCTGTTAAGATATATAAAATACAGGTCAGAACTAATTATTCACGATTAAATCACTTTATAATATGTTGTTCCGTCATGCGAATTTACAGTTGACCGCTCTTATATCTAAAAATATTCTCTCACAACTGCTTACTTTATGCATAATGCCCTTTGCAAATATTGAATAACTCTGAAAGTATTTTAAATTGACAGTTGGTAAGCTTTGTTTGCAGCCGTATCAAGCTGACTGTGAAGAACAAAGGCAAAGAATAACACGCAACTTAATACTGTCAATTAATCGACAATAATTACTGAACGATTTGTCTGAGTTAAATTCAGTAGGAACAGGCCAGGAAAATATGAGGTTAATTTCAAACAAAGATATACAGTAGCTAAACATATTTGAATTAGAATACTGGAAAATTGTTAACGTCCGGGATAAACTTCAGATAGAAAATTAAATCGTTATAATTGCAGACTTTTCCTTATTGTTTCTTGAGCTGTTTTCGGTTATATTTATGAATCCTTGTATTAGAATTCCCACATTTCCTTATTTAAATAATGAACGTTTGTTTTTGTGCCTGATGACTGGTTTTTGAATACTTGTATTTCTCACACCTGTTTTATAAATAAACATTTTTACTCACTCAAAATATCTATCTTTTAGATTAAAGGATAGACAGTTTTAAAAATATTCAGGCTGATCAATACATAACAAAACGAAAGATCACTAACTGCATACACACTTTTAACTTGTTTTCTTATATACTGGATATATATACGTGGAATCAAATCTTGTAAATTTATTTACCATTGAGATCGACTGGTGACTTATGGTTTCACTTTTTGCACAAAAATATGGTTTTGGTGTTCATTACTTTAACCTTGGTTTTTGATTTTTGGGATAGGTGTCAAGAAATATGTATTTAAGTAACTGACCTACTACAGTAGTGATAACTGTGATCGAGTTGAGATGAATTCCATCGAACTACAGTGTCGTTCTTAGTATGTATTCGCCTACTAACCCAATAGACTATAGGCCTGTGAACCACGTTCAATGAGCCTGCACATACGGAGTCCACAAATATCCTCAATTTCATAGTCACATGTTATTAGATGACTACCTCACTTCTTTTTCAACAATCTCCAGTCTTGACAACTTATATGTGAAAACGCTGTCAAGAGTAGGATCTATGAAGCACTTTGGTTGATATACCAAAGTAACACTATTAATTGATGAATACATTTAATGTTGGCTAACAGTTATGTACCAAAATTTAGCATTGTTTCCATGCAATTACCATTCAGTGTTGAAAGTCCTGCCAAGTCAATGAAGATTGAACATAGATAGCTGTCATACAGATTCAATTCAAAGGGACTCTTTTAGTCATATAGCAGTATGCATCTTAGATTAGTACGCCTGATAAATCACAGACAAATAACTTAAAAGCAACACTACTGGTAATGAGAACAGGCATAAGACAGACTATATTTCAGTGCTTATCTTGATTACAATAAGATTACCTACTTATGTATCCAGGTACACCGAATTGAGAACTGTTTCTAACGGCGAATAGCCTATTGTGAGTATATCGAGACTCATGTCAGTAAAGCCGAACATAACCGTGCATGTAGTTTGTATTAAATCCATCCATAAATAGTCATAAAATTACTTGGGTACCTCGACAAAAATCTAAAACCTACACAGTCGTTCTTGCTCGTCTTCCATATATTAGGACGTGTATGTATCGATTAGCTCTTTGGACATCAAGCAGTTCATATCTAAGGTTTTCTTATTTATTCCATCATATACAATTCGGGTTTTATCTTTCCGGGATATTCATGTACATTATTACATCCATTACCCTTTCTTGTGATTGGGTACTACTAATAATGATCACATTTTTTCGTTGGCGTCTTTCATAATTCTAACGCAATTTTCTGTCATGTTTATTGAAAAATGGTTGTAAAACTTTGGTTTTAGTCTAAATAAACAATCTGTATAAAGCGAACTGTTTCTCAACATTACATAATTACATATAATAAAGATGTATGCATTTGTCTACTAACCAAACCATCCAGCTCAGAGAACAAAACTCCATCAAAATCATCCACCTGAGCTACAAATCTTCTCCACCATCTCAATTTGTCTACTAATTACATTGTTGCCTTATACGATTGTTGTCATATTTTGGTATGTAGCCACTTTGTTACAATAATTGCGAATTAGTGCCTATCGCTTCAAAATCAGAATCTTAGTAGTTTTTTAGACTATACAATTCAGAATTTTGCCTCATTTTATCCTACGTATGATCAATAAATTTAAGATGCCTTAGCAGTCTATCTTGGTATTCACTACTATATTTTTCAGTCTTTTAATGTTTCTCAGAAGCCCGAATCTTTATCGTTTTCCATTTTTTAATATGATCTCATTAAACGCAAATCTATCCATGTTTTACTCAATAGCACCTAATATGTGTGTATCTATAAATTTATTACCTCTAGTTCAATGTCTGTTTGTGAATCAAATGAAAATCCCTACTCAAGGAGTTACATCCACCTAGAAAACTATGATAAAAATGACTTGAAAATACGTATTATGCAGTGGAACATGCTTGCTCAGGGTAGGTTTATAGCTGTAGACCTTTATTTATTTCCATAATACAGGCTTTATTCCATTGGACGAATTCATATACTGTCCTTGTAAATTGTTATCGTTCGAACGTAGATGTAAATTAATCAGTGAAGAGATCCTGCGTTATGATCCAGATGTTGTTTGCTTACAAGAAGCAGACATAATTAAAGACATAGTGAAAAGTCTCAATGCGAGCAGTGGGAGAGATAATTATTCGTTTTGTTTTCTGCCAAAGATGTCCTCTCCTTGTTTGATGGTTAAAAATAATCACGGGCCTGATGGACTTGCTGTTATTTATCGGTAACCAATTTTGTCTTTTTTATGTTTTCAACAAATAGGAACGATAATTATGAACTGATAAAATCCGAAAAGATTCCTCTCAATGAAGACGATTCACGTTATGCACTTTTTTGTCACTTCGTACCCAAAGATATTGGACACTTAAATCAGAGCTGCTCTGATATCTACCTAATATGTCTTCACTTAAAAGCTAAGGTATATTGTTCTGAGATACGAAGAAAACAAGGAGAAGAACTTGTTAAATATTTAAATTCATTTATTAAGCGTATTTCTTCCACTTCTGCACCTGTAAATAGCACTGTATTTCCTCCCATTTTTATTTGTGGTGATTTTAATGCTGAACCTACAGAACCAGTAATTAATATTTTACAAAATTTCTCTTTGAATTCTAACACACTATATAAGCTCACAAGTGCTTATTACGTAGCAGGTGGTTGTAAAGAACCTGAATTTACAACATGGAAAATCAGAAAAAGTAAACGAATTGTAGAACTTACCGAAGACTGTCACACGATTGATTATATTTGGTATTGTGATCGATTATGCACCTTGTTAGGTGCCTGGTCCATTCCATCAAAAACTGAGATTGGTCCTAATGGTCTACCGTCAGCTATATTTCCATCAGATCATATGAATTTGATTGCAGATTTTAGTTTACGCTTATGCAAGTAGTATATAGTCTTCTTCTTTGATCTATCGCTTTTTTGAGATAAACATTAGTTTCATCATATTTACTGCTTGAATTGGTTTTGTCGTTGATTTAAATTTAGTTTAATATAGCTCCAAGTCAATTGATTAACTTTGGGTGTTAATTTGCATGAAACAAGAAATCAAGTACTTATTAACGCTTTATTGAAATTTTATTTTCATGATCTTCATTAAATAAACTGTGTAAATATGTATTGACGATTTATTTCTTTAAAGCGTAACTTCAAATTTTCATGTTTTTTCCCTGTTTAAATTTGATTCCAGCACTAGTTACTTAAAATCGTATCTATTTTACTTTATTTGAGTAAATTAAATTAAATACACCGTCACTTCATCACAGCTTAAAGACATGAGTAGTTAGGTGATTTCATTTTTTAACAATTACATTGAATTTGATTCACGTCTTAGTTTCACAGGCATTGATAAGTCTACATTCATTTGAGGAATAAACCATAATACTGCATCCCTCTATAAAGCTTGGATTTCAGAACGGAAAAGCTACAAGAAGTTGTTTGACGAAATGCTTCACTCCGTAGTTATCGTTGAACTAATATTCGCTGCATGACAGTTAACATACATATGATTATTAGAATGGGGGTTTGTGGAGATTGTAGTAATTTAATAGTTGAATTCATGAGCCGATTTAAGCCTGACCTCCATGGAAAACCTAGGAGCACTGGACGGCCCTTTCGTCCCTGTATTGGACTCCTCAGCAGTGCGCATACACGATTCGGCACCCGGGACTTGAACTCAGGACCTTCGGTTTCGCATGAGAACGTTTAACCTCTAGATCATTGAGCCGGCACCCAACGGTGCTAATGTCTAATTTCAACCAATCCACAATCTCTACAAACCCCAACCTGATAATAATCGTTATGTGCTCACTAGTGACTGGCTTCAAGAGGTATTTCCTGAAGTTCTAGTGAGAAGCCGTGACCAGTGGACTTCAACCGTATCTGTTGCGAGTCAGTTGCTCACTGAAGACAATGTTGGACTGTGATGCAATTTCGTGGATTGGTTGAAGTTAGACATTAACACCGCTGGATGCTGGCTCAGTGGTCTAGATGTTAAGCGTTCTCGTGCGAGACCGAAGGTCTTGAGTTCATGTCCCGGGTGCGGAATGGTGTATGCGCGCTACTGAGAAGTTCAATACAAGGACGAAACGGCCGTCCAGTGCTTCCAGGTTTCCATGGAGGTCAGGCTCATGAATTCAATTGTTAAAATACATATAATTATAGGTGAAACTCCTAATATTTATTTCTAATGTACAAGTTATCAATTATGGAATCATATTCAAAGGTACTAAAATAACCATAAATGCAAATAATTGACTGTAGAAGATAAAATCGATAGAAGTAGGCTTTATTGAATTTGGCTCAGCATAAATATTTGAGTTATCATTGTGTCTTTTTATGGTTGTACTATTATGATCATCCCGTCAGTTATATAATTATTTAATTTTATAAATAATTATATCCGTAATGTTAAGTTATTGATCGATATAGCGTACAATTAATTATATTATTGTGTTTGTTAGCAAATGACCTTGTATGCTAATAGATTAATAGACAGTAACAGATGGAATCTGTTGAACATATTTTATCATTACAAATTCGAATCCAATTTGTTACAGGTTTCTTATTTAGTGTTACATATATTACATACTTATAGTTAAATATTTAAATTGCACAGGACCCTGGTACAAGTAAATATTTATTAGTAAATATTATTAGTAACTCAGAAAATAGGGAGATTCATTTCAATAACGGATGGACTCATGCGACAAAAATTCGTTTAAAATGTAGTCTAGGTAAAGTGAATATCACTTTATCATATGACACTCGTGATATTAATATCTAAAAATAACTGGAGTAACTTTTATTGTAGGAATGTCTAGTATGCAATGTAAACTTGAGCCAATTAAAACTCTGTGTTTATTAATCAAATTAAATACAGATAAAATAAGGTGAGAGAAATAAAATAACCACTAGTCAGATGATTGGTCAATGATTATGTATTATGAGTAAAGTAAAAAATGGTGGTGCGGAGAAAGTAGTATTTAAATTCCTAGTGTATTTATTAGTTTAATAATTATAACAAAAATATTATTTGAGCGGATAAATCTAAGTTATGAAAACGCGAAGGTGAAGGCTACCCGCGCATTAGTTAATTTGGGTCATCTTACGATTAGGATGGCTCTTGGTTTATTGGGCCTTAAATCGGTCAAGTTAGTAGGGGCGGTTTAACAAAGTAATATTGTATCCAAAGTTCTGATCTTGTAATCCGGATGACTGCTGCTTACACTATTTAGGCAATCCGAAGTTTCAGGAGATATTAACTAACACTACAGATTATTTGGTATGATTTATTCACCCTGATTGTATAACTCGTTTCGACTAGATGGTATTGTGTCGAGCTGTTGAACGTTTTAACCACTCTGGAAGGTGTCCGTAAGTACGTGAAAGTAAATTCCTAGATCATCTGTAGATGTAGCCAGTCCTACATAATCAGTTGGATGGATAGATACACAAAGAACCTCCTGTTTTGTTTAGCTAATTACTTGTTTATAAACTTCACAGTGTTTCCTCGTCAATCGTACCTAAAGAGCATATGGCCACAGTTCTATTATGAGTCTTCACTAGGTTTCTTATACTGTAGCAGAACAAAACTAAAGAAGTTTATGTATTTTGCTTGGTAAGTAGTCTTTTGAGTTCCTTCCGAATGATCTGTCAACCCTCCTCGTAAGTATTGCATTTAGAAATGCTACTTTGTCTTGATATTCTTCTTCGCAAGTAAATTTAGTAGATGGATAGACTTCATTAAACAGTCCCTAACGATCAATGTGCCTTTTGAAAAAGAAAAGTCCGACATTCATAGTTCGTCAGTAAAATGAGAACTTTTCAATAAATTGTACAAGTGATTCGTCTTCCAGGTTAACTAGAAAATTAACGGCTAACATAAGATTCCACTGGAGAACCAGATGTGGTGAACCTATCAGAAGTATCCAACTGAGGTCACGTGATTACAATCTGAAATGACCTGAAGGACAAATGCATATCGTTGGTTAAAAGATGAATTGATTTTCCAAAGGGTAGAGATGTTTATGTATAAATGAGCATTTGTGCATATTATTCGGTAGTCAATTTACTTTCTCGTATTTTGTGTTCTCGCTCATGTAGCCAAGTGGGGGTTAGAGTGTAGCACATTGTGTATCAATGTCAGATCTCGAACACCACCCATCATAACAGAACCCACCGCTATCCTATTACCTCGTCTGTATATTTCCCCGTTAAATATGAAATTCACACTCAATAAATGTTGGTTGTAATTCTTTAAAAACGTCTGCTTCGGTCGCAATGTCTTTCAGTTTTCATTATTTGTTCGCATCTGACTGTCTTTCCGTAAGTGGAACATGTGTAAAAACTATTATCAGATCTGAGGATAACGTAGTATGTTCTCTAATGTTTATATCTTTGATCCAGCCTGCGAAATGAAATACACCTTTAACATAACATCGGTTAAAGTAGCCCTCTTTTCATCTTCGTTTGCATGAATACTAGTTAACTTTCAACCACCACAACGTATCGTGAACGTAGAAAATTATAAACATATATTCGACCGGAAAACTCTCGGACAGAGAATATACAAAGTGGGGTTTTCTTTGGTAAGTAGTCTATTTTTCCTGCGATTTCTACTGCGCTTTTAATAAGAAGCACTCCAACGATGTGTACGTAGGTGCGACTTACGAGCGTTTACGCCTTACTGAGAACAAATGCCTTGTTTTCACAAACTAATTATGGAGTTTGTTGAGATCGTACTTAGGTATCTTTAAAACATCAACAGTGTTCAATGAATCAAATAGTTAATCATCAACCAAGTGGTTGTTTTGTGGTGGTGATGGTACAAAACTTTTTTTCCATTGTAGTCTGGCAATAAATTATCTAATGATATAATAATGCATTTATGTATGCTACCGAAAAAACACAATCACTTCAATATGTTAACTTGTAGGTTATGGACTAAGGTTAACCATAAATGCGGATAAATATGTACAGTTTCAAGTTATTTCCATTTACTCGGTTCGGAGAACATAGTACTGAAATATCATTGAATTCAAGCGACCTTCAATTAAGACATACGGTTGCCGTTTATTTCTGTGGCAATAGTTGTAGGTTTGTCAGTGACCGAATAAAGTTTATCCAAATTCAAAATGAATATGAAATATCTTTCGGGTACTTAAAAAAGCCGTACGTGAGTGTCATTTATTTGCGAGCATCTGTCAGAAAAAGCAATCACATTGCGAGCAGTAAGGTTTGGTTTCTCCCCTATTTTTTAGCCACTTTCATTTTTTTCAATGTGGATACTGATAGGGACGATTTAGCTAACTTGGCTATAGTGATTATGACTACGTTCTACAAATTATAAACGTGCTTTGTCGAACTACTTACAAGTAGTAAACTTGTTTTCCAGAGATTGTTTGGAGTTTCAAAAATGACATGTATTCTGATTCGTATGTTTTGTTACTTTTACGTTGCTCAAATGATCATGGCATCTTTAACCAAGTTGTTCGGCAATTTTTCTCTGTTAAAAAACGATTTAGTATTCATCAACTGAATATTTACTTTCTAAAGTAAGTAATACCGATATACTGCAGACAGTAGTCACTCATTTAACGTGGGTTTGTACTAATAAGCTAGTTTGCATAATTAAAAATAAGGCGTTGTGCTCATGTCTTTAAATTAGCTGGTACTTACACAAACAAGGTAATATTTCCGAACAGTTGACTTGGCTATACAGTGAAAGACTAACAATCTCCTCTCCTCTTCACTAAGTCTCAGATAGAGACTTACTCCTGTTACCCCTCGTAGAGGACCATAGACCGCCCACCAACACTCTCCATCCAAGCCTGTCCTGTGCAATCCTTCCCAGTTTATATTCATTCTTTTGATATCTAATTCCAATTCCTAAAGCAACGTGTTCTTGGGTCTTCCCCTTTTCCATTTCCCTACACTACTTCAAGTTAGGGATTGCCTCGTGATTGAGTTCGGTGATTCCAGCAATGTATGTCCTATCCACCTCCAACTTCTTTTCCCAATTTTCTCTTTAGCTGGAAGTTGGTTTTTTATCCCACAGTAGGCTGCTACTGATGGCATCCGGCCAACGGATATTGAGTATTTTGCGTAAATTATTGTTTATAAATACTTGTACTATTTTGATGATGGTTGTAGTAGTTCTCCAAGTTTCACCTCTGTAGGACTGTCTTGACGTCCGTTTTGAATATTCTGACTTTGATATTGGCTTGCATACAATTGTTTTGAGTTCCACATGTTCTCCGACTGTAGGAATGCTGTCCTCGATT